ATATACTTGTATATGATTCTATAAATGAGTTATCTGATCTCAGATCTTGTTTGATTCATTTGACACCTACAACCTCAGCCTAGGCTATATACAATGTACTTGTATATGATTCTATAAATGAGTTAGCTGATCTCAGATCGTGATTGATTCATTTAACACCTACAACCTCAGCCTAGGCTATATACTTGTATATGATTCTATAAATGAGTTATCTGATCTCAGATCTTGTTTGATTCATTTGACACCTACAACCTCAGCCTAGGCTATATACAATGTACTTGTATATGATTCTATAAATGAGTTAGCTGATCTCAGATCGTGATTGATTCATTTGACACCTACAACCTCAGCCTAGGCTATATACTTGTATATGATTCTATAAATGAGTTAGCTGATCTCAGATCGTGATTGATTCATTTGACACCTACAACCTCAGCCTAGGCTATATACTTGTATTTGTCCAAACTGCAAAGCAGGAAGCAAGTAATGATACTGGTCTATACTGATACATGAATATGTTTTGTCTACAGAAGAAAAGTACTGCAGATTGTTGATCTCTGACGGGGGTATAGCGTTACTGCAGTCTCTTTGTGACAACCCGTTAACTGATATCAACGTCAAAGTTACTGCATCAAAAGTCCTAAAATTGCTGATTAAATATCAACATGTCGACAAATAAATATGATTAAGACAATATTGGATTCACGTATTTGAATTTACAAATCAGTACTTTTTATATTAGATATATATAGGGTTTTCACGATTTAATGTTATTAAATATTTATGTAATCATAGAACATGGTACAACATGTGAAAGAAGATAAAATGAGAACAATTTGTAGATGATAAAGACATCTTTAACCCCCATCTGGATTATTTTCTTGTGTATTTTCGGTGATTTGTTAAGAATCCCAAGGAAGTTTATTGCTTAACAAAACCCTTGAGACATTTTTCAACACCACAAGAGTTATAAATACATCTTTAACAATTTTAGATTTTGTTAATTTTCCATCAATAGTTAACCAACAAGATGTGCTGCTTTGTGTTGTCATTTGAAACAAACGCTGTTAAGTATAGATGTAGTCTTTGATATAGATTTTTTGCGAAATGAACATTTATCAAATAATATAAGTTATCAAAAATCAAATACAAATTCAGGCTTCTAAAACAGTACTTGTTTCCATAGAAACAATGATTTTGCGATTTTCTCGTAGCGTTAAACCTTACTGTCGTGGCAATTTAGAATTGAAAAATTGACAGAATACATTAATTTGAGTTTACTAATTCAAAATCTAGTTTGGGTACTTTCGGACCCATTTTTTTTTTTTATTTGAAACTGC